TAGATTTCAATTAGTGCGGGAAGGTCTCATGTAGGGGTGGGCAGGAAAAATCGTAACCGACTAACTGTGGTAAATAACTGCAAAATCGGTACTTTTTTTGGTTAACCATACCTTGTTTTTAAAATCTAGCGGAACGGTTAACCAACCGATAGAAAATGCAATTAATGATACGGTAGCGGTTATGAAACTAAATACCGTTGGTTAACCGATAACTCAAAATTAATAGTTAGTACTTCGTATATTACTACAAAATTCATATATTATTGTTCATTTCCGTTTAAGAAATCCAATGTGAATTCTAAAACTTTTCGGTAAGTGCGTAGTACGTGATATGAGCTTTATTCAATATGAAGTTATGAACTACATATTGATTTGCAAACTGCAAATATTGTATTGCAATTTAGATTTATTATTAATTTTACATTTGAAATCTATATTACAATTTAATTTTAAGTTCAAAATTGAATTATTCACGGACTAGTCAAACCAGAATTCTAAATCATAGAGACAATTTTCTCAACTTTGGAAATGCATATTTCAAATCAATTTTTTTTAGTTATACATACTATGTATTACAGTACATCGGTGTAGAAGCATAAATTATACTCCGTACTAGTACTACTCCGTACTAGTACTACGGACGTATTATACTACTTCTCCAAGTCATCATTTTAGAAACAATATAGTTGTCTGATCTGTTGATCTGTGGTCTCCTTTAAAAATAACTTTGCGAATTGCAATCCATAGGATAGGACGCCTGGTACTAGTCTGATGATCTAAAATGGTTTTTTGGTTAACCAATTAATGGTTAACCTATATTGTGATTAATTGTTTATTCGGTTAACCGTCATTATAGTACGGTTAATGATAATATAAATATACTAACCGATATCTCAGTTAACTATAAGTTGGTTAACTAACCATGCCCACTCATAGTCCCATGGTGTTGCTGCACCATTGAAATAGGTTGCTCATTTTTCTCAGTTTCATAAATGCTTACACAAAATTATACTCCGTACTACTCCTTCCAAAATGATTTATTCTTCCCAAAATATTCTTTAACTTTCTACTACTCCGTATATAATTTGTGATTAGTATCATTTCTCTATTCTACATAATTTTCAATCATATAATCTCCTCTTTTTTAATCTACGTTCAAAATCAAAGGGAGGACACAATATTGAGATGAATGGGGTAACACCTATTTTGGATTTATCGACATTATAATAAAATAATTTTTTATTTCAATAATCAAAATAAGTAAGATTGGTGTTATTTTCTGGTTAATTGATTGAAACTAATGGAGACAAGGAGTAGACTAATTTAGCCATTTCCCTATACAAGTAACTTTTTCTTTGTTTCATTAGCAAAGTATACTATGGGCGTGTTTGACATTTAGCGGATAGCGGATTATGTTAGTAGGTTGTTAATAGCGAATTCAATCAGCGGGTTTGACTTTGACCAGCAGAATAAAATTGGCGGGTTTTCAGAAGATTTTTGTAATTTAGTTGTTTGACCATAAAATTAATACATAACTTCATTTTTCAAAACGCTAATCCAAAGCTCTCCTATTTGCAGCGTTTTCATTTCAACGATTCCATCCAAAAACGCCAGTACCCAACCGCTATTTACCAAACAACGTTTTCACTCATCGAAAACGTCAAAAGTGGTCAAACCGCCATTTTTTGGCTAAAACGTCATTTACCAAACACCCCCCTATATATTTTGAATATAGTATTTTTAAAATCAAAAGATACGATGAACTCAGTCTCTTAAGACAAAATTTTATAATTTTCAACAAATGAGCTCTCAGTTTGCTACATTGCAATCACTTTAATTAAGGAATAAGAATATAAACATTTTCTTACACCAATTAAGAATAAACATGGTGAGGGAAATAATACATAAATAGTTGGTATATATAATTAAAAGCGAAAATCACAATAATAACTCATACTTTTGTGGATTCCACAATAATAATTCTTATTGAGAGTGTCCATAAAAATAGTCTGTACTAGCAATAGTTTCCACATGAATAAATTGGAATGAATTTTAACTAATGCACCTTTGATAGTCACAAAACTCACAACTCCTACCTCCACTCTCTCATACATCATTCTCCGTTTCCGTTAACACTTTTATGTTCCAACCTAGAGAGAACCTCATATTACGGAAATATTGTTGATATTAAACGGGCATTAATTTGAATTTGAATTTGCTACGAGAAGAAGTGTGTGGAAGAGAAAAGTGCGAGTTGGATTGAAAGTATTAAATGAACATCAATTTAAATTCAAATTCAAATTCAAATTAATTTTTGCAAACATTATGAACATTATTTTTGTGAACACTTAGGGTTGGTTTGCAACTGCTTTTAAAAAAGTATTTCTCAACTTTTGGCTTTAAAAAAGCACTTATTTTTCCAAACACTACAACTTTTATTTTTCTCGGCTTCCGCGTCAAAAGTGCTTTTACTTTTTCTATTACACAAAAAGCACTTATTTTACTAAACACTATCCACTTTTACTTTTCAAAATCACTTTTTTCACTAACACTATCAATTTTTATTTAATCACTTCTCCCCATTTCATTTAAAAAAGCACTTTTTTAAAAGCAGAAGCTGTAATCAAATCATGAAAGTGATGAAACGAGAGCTATATATATATATATATATCTGCATATGGATACACAAAGGCAGGGGCGGGGTGGGGGCGGGAAATTAATCATCTGAAGAGGGGAAATAGGGCTCGCCGGCGGAGGCGGGGAAGTCTGAAAGGGCGGCCATGATGCGGCGGATGCTCAGAGTGCGAGTTGTCTTAAAGCTGGGTGCCGGCGGCGTATGGAGGGAGAAGATGTTGGAAGTCTTGGAGAGGATGAAATAAATGAGAGCTTGTACCGCTAAAAACACCCCCACCTTCACCCACATCATCTCATTCCCGCCGCCACCCTCTATTTCCATGCCTCACTTTTCTCTTCGCCGGCCGACAATATCACGGTTTATGTATTTTATGTATATTGAGAGATCGGAAAAGATGAGTGATTGTTAATTATATATATGGCTGAGGATTTAGACTCGATCGAAGACGACGCGTGTTTCTACTGGTGGAGTTGGATGGACCTTCAATCCATTGCTTTCTTGCACACAACTCCTGAGTCCTGAAGGCTTTAACCGTTTGTTTGTGGGCAGCTGTACGTATTAATTTTACGTAATACTCATCTCTCTCCTTAATACACCTCACTTCATTGTCCCAAACTAATTTGTGCTTAATATTACTGGCGTGCGGACAAAATGGAAAAATATACCTGTATATATATAGGCATTTACCTAGCGTGTATACTTTGGCAAAAAAACTAGGGGTACCCCAATTTGTACCTCCACCCTATTTTTGTGGCTCACAAAAGCAACTCATTAAAGTTGAATAATTCATTTATTGAAGTGGGCTTTTGTGAGCCACACAAATAGGTTGGGGTACAAATTGGGGTACAAAATGGGGTACCTATAGCAAGGTTGATACTTTGGTGTGAAACATAGTTGTAATATTATGCTCCGTTTTGGACTGATACCAAACTTTGAGAATGTTTATATTATATTTAGGGAAAATGGAAACTAATAATCCAACCTTTTAGCGGTCTTCTTACAATAGTCCCACTTTTTGATTATTCATGAATAACCCAACATTTGCACCTCATCTTCATTCATTGATCTCTAACCGGTTGATGACCTGCTATTCCAAGTTATTTTCTTATCTTTGCAAAATATTATCTTTGTGAAAGGTGAGATTTATGGTATAATGGTTTGCAAAGATAAGAAAATAACTTGGAATGGTGGGTCATCAACCGGCCAGGGACCAGTGAATGAAGATAAGGTGCAAAGGTTGGATTATTCATGAATAATAAAAAGGTGGGACTATTATAAGAAGACCACTAAAATGTTGGATTATTAGTTTCCATTTTCCCTTATATTTATTACTTTGTATGCTAGTCAAAGACGATGGTGTCAACCAGAATGAAGTGCAAAAACTAATGGAAAATTAAAGGTCTATTTGAAATGTGGGTCAAGTTTTAATTAAAGGAATGGTCTATTAAGAAATAATGAAATAGTGTGGAACCCTCTGAAATATTCAAGAGATGTGTATAACTTTTTTTAACCTTACGAAAGATTATAGAGGGATGTGCAAGTGAATAGAGGGGTGTAAACTGTAAACGTTTTGAACATCTGAGATTAATTCTTATTTTACACGTTAAAACTTTTTTTATTTGATCCAAATTATTTAATAAAAATAATTACAGGATAAAAACATAAAAAAATAAAAAAGAAGTACATATCAGATATTATGTTTATCTAATGACTTTTACAAATATAAGAACCTGTTTATTTTATTTTCCTACAACGATTATAATACACTCATAGACTTTGTGCAAGTCCAGGGCTTCATGTTACATCTAATTGGAAAAACTCTTTGCCTTCTATGTGAATGTCCAAACAGCAATTTAATAAGATTTCAGTATGATATACACACCCCTGACCCCGGTACCCTAGACTCAAATATAGAATGTAATTGTTCTTTGGTAATAGATGACGGCTCAAAAATCAATAGCGAAAGTTTGAGCAGAGAAAATGACTTCATAGTTCATAGATGCAATGTTTAGATAATTGTTTCCTGTCTAGATAATTGTTTATGTGACTCAAAAGTCTCCAAGACATCACTACTGCCATCAACCATCGTATGGCCATTAAAAATTAAAGAGAAAATGACTTCATAGTTCATAGATGCAATGTTGAGATGGCACTGTATTTATTTTTGCAGTGCAGGCAATCTTAACTTTCTTTCAAGTATCTAGCAAATGAATCATTTCGAGACACATTGTCTACAAACACATTGCCTAGTAGGCAATGCCTACTGGACACTCTGGAGTTGAAGGTTGACTTGGTGAAACTAGATTTTTTTATATAGTTAGACTTAAAACTAGCAGATATATTATGAGTTCTTAACTTAGACTTATTTGAATCTCAAATTAAATCAGATTTAACAGAGCAGCTCAAAAAGGCCCCATTTAAGGTGGCTACAAGTTGCTACGGAGTAATTCTTTTATGCCATTTTCCCTGGTTTTCATAAAGTGAAAACTAAAAACATGGGAAGAATTTATTTATCATATAAGCAATTCTGCGCAATTTCACCAGACCACAGCATTATGCACAAGTCAGCTACAGCTTAAAAGACTCCGAAGCAAGGGTTCACAAACCAGCAGCAGATGTTATGTTTTATTGTAATATAATCTTTACAAACATGGACCCCTGTACTAAACGCAGGGTTCGTCACTGGTTCTGCAGGGTGAACTTTTATTCCTTCTCACATTACTCCTAATAGCAGCACAAGTCATCCATAATCCATCTGCACAAGGCAAAAACATGAAATACCTGATCACAAAAAGCAAGAAAACTACTACAGTAGTACATAATCTATGTGGATCCGTAATTTCTATGATAGAATTAGGAAAACAAGAGATACTTAAGAGGCCGTTTGGTAACCTTATTTTCAGCTTATCAGTGTCATCACCCAACATTTATACCAAGCACGTAACTTTTGATTTCACACATTGAATTGTAAGGTTGGAATCATTTCTTTGGCTGAATTAGCTGAAGTTAGACGAACATTTTAGCTATTTTCATATACTTTTTTCTTTATTTTTATTAATAAAATATATTTTAAATATTTTTTTTCATAATTCTTCATATTCAGTCGATTCAGCCGTTTCAACACAAATTTCATAAATTTGGGATTTAGCCAATTTCAGCTTTACCAAAGATCTCTAAGTGTGTAATCCGATATCAGTAGGACATAAAGCAGTTAATTGAAAAGTGATGGGATTCTGATTGGGATACTGCTGAAATGAATAAGGAGGATAAGTACTCTGGCCGGGTCTATTCTAGAAGGAGTAAATGGAATAGATAGTTGATAGTAATTTTCTGTTATTAGCTATTAAATAGAACAAGTCTGAGAATAGAAACCAGGCTGTTTAGACTATTGTCTTGGGACTGGGAAGATTAGAGGATCAATTCTCTTCTCTTTGGGGGCTTCGGCCAGGAACAACTCTCCATAATAAAGCTTGTTTAGTTTCTTGAATGTCTTGTTCTTCTTTTCTGTACATTTTTTAATATTTTGAATAGTGGTATCAGAGCAAGTTGATCGCTGGATGATCGTTAAGCGTGCAAAATGGAAGAAAAAACGAACGAATTGGAAGGCAATCACCAACATACATCAGCGATACAGGCAAGCCTTGCAAACATTGATAAGATACTCCAGAATCGATCAAAGAGCAGATCGCACACTTTGCATAGGTCGCATCGCATTTCTCATCATCGACACACGCGACACTCAGATAGTTCAGAGAGATCGGAAGAGCAGAGGCTTCGCAGAGGAACTGGAGACCGATCGAGGAAGACTAGGCACCTTCCGATATCTTACACACAACATTCCTCGCAGTCGTTCATCACTTCGTAAACGGAGTCGCGAAATGCTTCTCTTGGTTCGCTATCATGAATCTCTTCTCACTGTTCAGTCGTGAACAGTTTCTCTCCCTTTGCAAACTGACTCAACGGCTATTACTTCACGTCCAAGAAGGAACCGGTTGAGAGAAGAATCTCCATCTTCATCGCCAATCGATTCTCACTGTTCACCTTCTTCATCTCAAGCCACTCCTCTGAGTTTGCAAACTTCTACGCGAACTACTGTTTCTGCTTACAGTTCGGCATCGCAAGTCACTTCGCTAGTTCGCGGACGATAGCCGAATCCACTGGTCCGCAGGATGAAAAATGCTTGAGGTACACAAAATGTGTACACATGTCTGTCCTTCAGAAAAATTTTGTCCTTCACAGACAAAATTTCTGTGAAGGACAGACATGTGTACACATTTTGTGTACCCCTAGCAAAACTCCCGCAGGATTTACCGCAAGTCTATTCTCACCAGGCACAAATTTCAGCTACGACACTGAACTCCATCGATTCTCACCCTGCGCAAGCTATAGACATCGTGGAATCAGGAAGTGGATCGCCATTGACAACACTGAAGAAGGCTGAGTCGAGAATATGACATTACTCAAACCATGGAATCTCCACCAGATAATCCTGAAGACTCAGAAACTTATGATGGTCAGAGGTATGATTTTGTACTGATAAGAAACCCAGAATATTTTAAATCTTTGTTGGGTAGAGTTCAAGAATGTGAGAGTGTGGTGTTACTCTGGGGTGCCTTAGCAAAGCAATTGTGAAAGACTGATCTACATATTAGTATAATTGAAGGAATAGTCTTTAATCACTCAAAGGTCAAACCTAGGTCAAACCTCAAAGAGGGGTATATCCATAGCATGGGGAATGGTGTGTCTTTTCGCTATCTAGTGCATTTGAATGGATTTCCTCCCAAAAGCAAGGCTACAGAGGACAAAAGAATCGATACCTCTGAACAGTCAATATGCTTTTCAAATGATGTTTCATTTAGTCAAGAATGCTTTCTTTCTAAACACATGATTGCCAAGCTTCTAGCTTGGAATTCCTCAGATTTTGGATTGAAATGGACAGATAAGTTTGCTCTTGGTAGCATTGTAGAGGAAAAAGTTCATGAAATAAAAGAGTTTGGTGCTGTTGTCAATTTTAAGAATCACGGTGAGGTTGTTGACTTTATTTCAGAATGTCAGTTGGGTGGAATCAAGGTGAATCTGGACACTACAATTCAGGCTGCTGCACTTGATGTCTCCAAGTTAGAGTACCCTGTGGATTCATCTTTAAAACCAGAAACTGATCAAAAGCAAGTAGTTGCGGTTTTCTGTGTTGTAGCAGACTGCACCTTATCCTCCACAGAATCTGAAAGAATTATGGCTGAAGTACATGGTGATGCAGGAGCTGACTTTGTATTCTCGTCCACAAAAGTGTTGCTTGGTATCTGTGTTGCTTCACACTAGTAAAGATTGTGCCATTTTGAAGATAGTCTGGGTTATTCCACTCTATGTTTCAAGACACCAGGTGAAAATAGACTCTCCTTTTGAGAAACGTGCAGTGGCAGAAAGGCTTTGGTGGAGAATTCTATGGAAGTTGTTTGGTGGAATGATGTTGGGTGTACTCAAATGCGGTAGAGGATGGCATTGTTTTACTAAAAAACATCATGACAGTCAATCATAACTCAAAGGGAGAAAAGTCAAATGGAGTTGAAGCAATTTGTAGTTCAAAAATTACTAATCATTTTCATTTACCCCAGTGCCGCAAAGGCTCCCTCCTACGGTGGGGTAAGGGGGGTCGGATGTGCGCAGTCTTACCCCTGTACTAAAGCACAGAGAGACTGTTTCCGGATGACCCGTAGTGAAAATTGCGTCCAAAATTGCATGGACTGACTGCTGCTTCATAACAAAGAAGCGAAGACAGTTTAGTGAGTCATTTTGCTTAATTCCATCATATTCTCAAACCAAAAAATAATGAATCTTTGGCTCCATTGCAAATGATGGAAATTCAAAAATTACTGATGAGCAGATTAAAAGGGATGGCAATCCTGATGTTCAGGACATGAACACAAATTGTCAAATTCTGCTACTGTTGTAAGGGATTTACCTCAGGAAAGCATGAAAATATTTGTGGCTATTGAAGGTCTGAAGATTAAGGAAGAAAATGAAACTTCACCAGAAATATTCTATGCTGCAGAAACATTTGTGAGTTGTAAAGATCAAGTACTGAAGCTTTTGCTCAGAAACCAGTGAAATATTGGGAAGGTAGAAGCGCCACGATGAAGAGGAAGCGGAAGATCTTGGCTGTTTCCTATCACCCACCTTGAGGGCAAGGTGGATGTTTAGGGGGGGAGTATTGATAGGATTCTGATTGGAATACTGCTGAAATGAATAAGGAGGATACGTACTCTGGCCGGGTCTATTCTAGAAGTAGTAAATAGAATAGATAGTTGATAGTAATTTTCTGTTATTAGCTATTAACTACTTTCGGTTATTCTGAGAGGATATAAATAGAATAAGTCTGAGAATAGAAACCAGGCTGTTTAGACTATTGTCTTGGGACTGGGAAGATTAGAGAATCAATTTCTCTTCTCTTTGGGGGCTTCGTCCAAGAACAACTCTCCATTAATAAAGCTTGTTTAGTTTCTTGAATGTCTTGTTCTTCTTTTCTGTACATTTTTGAATAATTTGAATAGTTCTATCAAAAAGTATATTTGTCAAAAATTTGTTTTGAAAAAGAGATGTGGTTATGGAAGTTGGGTCCGGAATCAGTTCTTGAAATGCAAGGTTGATAAAGTAAAAGTTATTTAGAAAGTAACCCAAATGTGTTTTTAAGAATTACAAATAACTGAAAAATGGTCCACAAGTAGTGAGTGACAGGAGCTATGAACGGCAACTGAAGCCAAACTGACAACTTTTAAAGAATCAAGAGCTCTTTGGACTGCAGATTCAAAAAGTGAAATCCTATAACATACTAAGCATTTAACTGCCATTCAATTATATCTACTCCAAAGAGTAAAAAACAACTATTTGAACCAATACAAGACAGATGGAGAAGTTCCTGACAGCACATGACCAATCCTGAAGAACGCATATGATGATGATAAAAGGCCAACCCGACTTCTATACGTCGGTTTATGAAAACAGTATAAGACTCGTACAGGAAGGCACATATTTTAAAAGTAAAAAAAAATATGCTCTCACTGAATCTAAGTGGGACACCAAAGATGACCAAACTAGCTCAAAAAAAGACAAGCTCTCCAAATGCATGGTAACTTCAGTCTTCAACATCATATTCACCAATTCAAAGAATGAAATAAGCTAGACCAGAGTAGAAACCTAAAGGAGTATTCAAGTGTCTCGGTGTCTCTAACCATCCAAGCACTAAATTGAAAAAAAAAAGGGAAAGCACCAGCTGTGAAAACAAAAATGACTATAAATGAATCCTAGCCGATCTATATGCAACTAAAAATGACTATAAATGAATCCAGCCTTTTCTGGAATCACTTTTTTTTTTCAAAAACATCGTCACATCGATGATATAATGTTCCTCATGAGCCAGGATCCAAAAATGCAACGAATGCAACACTTTTCTTCTTGTCTAGGTAAGGCAATCAAGACATTCAGCGACTGATTCAAAGATGCATGTTAGATTCTAGAGTTAAACATGTCAAGTTATTTTTTAGTAAAATAATAATCTAAAGGCAAATTTTTTAAAATTTCCATGCATGTGGACATAACCTATGATGATAATGGTTCGAGCTTTCCAGTGTTGTTAATCAAGGACACCAGGGCATAGTGGCCCTTCCTAAAAAACAATATAGCTGGTACAGCACGTAGTGGCTGACCACTACTCAGACAATACACAAATATATATATAATATACATATATACATACATATA